ACCTTCCAGTAGCTGCCATAACTAGTATGCTTTAACCCACTACACCATCAGACCCTACAAAAGAAGTAGAGACTTCGAGATATATATACATCTCAAATATCTCCACTTCCCGAGGGCACCAGATGAGTGTGGGGTTAGTCTGCATTTTTCGTCACGCCACTGTCAATGTGAGAGAACTCGTGTCCAGTTTATAAGCCTATACTTGCATAAACCACAAGTGAAGATTAACAATCTTTGGACAACACCCACCAGTGTGACTCGAACCCAGAAAGCACAACTACCTTCCAGTAGCTGCCATAACTAGTATGCTTTAACCCACTACACCATCAGACCCTACAAAAGAAGTAGAAACTTCGAGATATATATACATCTCAAATATCTCCACTTCCCGAAGGCACCAGATGAGTGTGGGGTTAGTCTGCATTTTTCGTCACGCCACTGTCAATGTGAGAGAACTCGTGTCCAGTTTATAAGCCTATACTTGCATAAACCACAAGTGAAGATTAACAATCTTTGGACATCACCCACCAGTGGGACTCGAACCCAGAAAGCACAACTACCTTCCAGTAGCTGCCATAACTAGTATGCTTTAACCCACTACACCATCAGACCCTACAAAAGAAGTAGAGACTTCGAGATATATATACATCTCAAATACCTCCACTTCCCGAGGGCACCAGATGAGTGTGGGGTTAGTCTGCATTTTTCGTCAAGCCACTGTCAATGTGAGAGAACTCGTGTCCAGCTTATAAGCCTATACTTGCATAAACCACAAGTGAAGATTAACAATCTTTGGACAACACCCACCAGTGGGACTCGAACCCAGAAAGCACAACTACCTTCCAGTAGCTGCCATAACTAGTATGCTTTAACCCACTACACCATCAGACCCTACAAAAGAAGTAGAGATTTCGAGATATATATACATCTCAAATATCTCCACTTCCCGAGGGCACCAGATGAGTGTGGGGTTAGTCTGCATTTTTCGTCAAGCCACTGTCAATGTGAGAGAACTCGTGTCCAGCTTATAAGCCTATACTTGCATAAACCACAAGTGAAGATTAACAATCTTTGGACAACACCCATCAGTGGGACTCGAACCCAGAAAGCACAACTACCTTCCAGTAGCTGCCATAACTAGTATGCTTTAACCCACTACATCATCAGACCCTACAAAAGAAGTAGAGACTTCGAGATATATATACATCTCAAATATCTCCACTTCCCGAGGGCACCAGATGAGTGTTGGGTTAGTCTGCATTTTTCGTCAAGCCACTGTCAATGTGAGAGAACTCGTGTCCAGCTTATAAGCCTATACTTGCATAAACCACAAGTGAAGATTAACAATCTTTGGACAACACCCACCAGTGGTACTCGAACCCAGAAAGCACAACTACCTTCCAGTAGCTGCCATAACTAGTATGCTTTAACCCACTACACCATCAGACCCTACAAATGAAGTAGAGACTTCGAGATATATATACATCTCAAATATCTCCTCTTCCCGAGGGCACCAGATGAGTGTGGGGTTAGTCTGCATTTTTCGTCACGCCACTGTCAATGTGAGAGAACTCGTGTCCAGTTTATAAGCCTATACTTGCATAAACCACAAGTGAAGATTAACAATCTTTGGACAACACCCACCAGTGTGACTCGAACCCAGAAAGCACAACTACCTTCCAGTAGCTGCCATAACTAGTATGCTTTAACCCACTACACCATCAGACCCTACAAAAGAAGTAGAGACTTCGAGATATATATACATCTCAAATATCTCCACTTCCCGAAGGCACCAGATGAGTGTGGGGTTAGTCTGCATTTTTCGTCACGCCACTGTCAATGTGAGAGAACTCGTGTCCAGTTTATAAGCCTATTCTTGCATAAACCACAAGTGAAGATTAACAATCTTTGGACAACACCCACCAGTGGGACTCGAACCCAGAAAGCACAACTACCTTCCAGTAGCTGCCATAACTAGTATGCTTTAACCCACTAAACCATCAGACCCTACAAAAGAAGTAGAGACTTCGAGATATATATACATCTCAAATATCTCCACTTCCCGAAGGCACCAGATGAGTGTGGGGTTAGTCTGCATTTATCGTCACGCCACTGTCAATGTGAGAGAACTCGTGTCCAGTTTATAAGCCTATACTTGCATAAACCACAAGTGAAGATTAACAATCTTTGGACAACACCCACCAGTGGGACTCGAACCCAGAAAGCACAACTACCTTCCAGTAGCTGCCATAACTAGTATGCTTTAACCCACTACACCATCAGACCCTACAAAAGAAGTAGAGACTTCGAGATATATATACATCTCAAATATCTCCACTTCCCGAGGGCACCAGATGAGTGTCGGGTTAGTCTGCATTTTTCGTCAAGCCACTGTTAATGTGAGAGAACTCGTGTCCAGCTTATAAGCCTATACTTGCATAAACCACAAGTGAAGATTAACAATCTTTGGACAACACCCACCAGTGGGACTCGAACCCAGAAAGCACAACTACCTTCCAGTAGCTGCCATAACTAGTATGCTTTAACCCACTACACCATCAGACCCTACAAAAGAAGTAGAGACTTCGAGATATATATACATCTCAAATATCTCCACTTCCCGAGGGCACCAGATGAGTGTGGGGTTAGTCTGCATTTTTCGTCACGCCACTGTCAATGTGAGAGAACTCGTGTCCAGTTTATAAGCCTATACTTGCATAAACCACAAGTGAAGATTAACAATCTTTGGACAACACCCACCAGTGTGACTCGAACCCAGAAAGCACAACTACCTTCCAGTAGCTGCCATAACTAGTATGCTTTAACCCACTACACCATCAGACCCTACAAAAGAAGTAGAGACTTCGAGATATATATACATCTCAAATATCTCCACTTCCCGAAGGCACCAGATGAGTGTGGGGTTAGTCTGCATTTTTCGTCACGCCACTGTCAATGTGAGAGAACTCGTGTCCAGTTTATAAGCCTATACTTGCATAAACCACAAGTGAAGATTAACAATCTTTGGACATCACCCACCAGTGGGACTCGAACCCAGAAAGCACAACTACCTTCCAGTTGCTGCCATAACTAGTATGCTTTAACCCACTACACCATCAGACCCTACAAAAGAAGTAGAGACTTCGAGATATATATACATCTCAAATATCTCCACTTCCCGAGGGCACCAGATGAGTGTGGTGTTAGTCTGCATTTTTCGTCAAGCCACTGTCAATGTGAGAGAACTCGTGTCCAGTTTATAAGCCTATACTTGCATAAACCACAAGTGAAGATTAACAATCTTTGGACAACACCCACCAGTGGGACTCGAACCCAGAAAGCACAACTACCTTCCAGTAGCTGCCATAACTAGTATGCTTTAACCCACTACACCATCAGACCCTACAAAAGAAGTAGAGACTTCGAGATATATATACATCTCAAATATCTCCACTTCCCGAAGGCACCAGATGAGTGTGGGGTTAGTCTGCATTTTTCGTCACGCCACTGTCAATGTGAGAGAACTCGTGTCCAGTTTATAAGCCTATACTTGCATAAACCACAAGTGAAGATTAACAATCTTTGGACAACACCCACCAGTGTGACTCGAACCCAGAAAGCACAACTACCTTCCAGTAGCTGCCATAACTAGTATGCTTTAACCCACTACACCATCAGACCCTACAAAAGAAGTAGAAACTTCGAGATATATATACATCTCAAATATCTCCACTTCCCGAAGGCACCAGATGAGTGTGGGGTTAGTCTGCATTTTTCGTCACACCACTGTCAATGTGAGAGAACTCGTGTCCAGTTTATAAGCCTATACTTGCATAAACCACAAGTGAAGATTAACAATCTTTGGACATCACCCACCAGTGGGACTCGAACCCAGAAAGCACAACTACCTTCCAGTAGCTGCCATAACTAGTATGCTTTAACCCACTACACCATCAGACCCTACAAAAGAAGTAGAGACTTCGAGTTTAAGCAAGTATAGGCTTATAAGCTGGACACGAGTTCTCTCACATTGACAGTGGCTTGACGAAAAATGCAGACTAACCCCACACTCATCTGGTGCCCTCGGGAAGTGGAGATATTTGAGATGTATATATATCTCGAAGTCTCTACTTCTTTTGTAGGGTCTGATGGTGTAGTGGGTTAAAGCATACTAGTTATGGCAGCTACTGGAAGGTAGTTGTGCTTTCTGGGTTCGAGTCCCACTGGTGGGTGTTGTCCAAAGATTGTTAATCTTCACTTGTGGTTTATGCAAGTATAGGCTTATAAGCTGGACACGAGTTCTCTCACATTGACAGTGGCTTGACGAAAAATGCAGACTAACCCGACACTCATCTGGTGCCCTCGGGAAGTGGAGATATTTGAGATGTATATATATCTCGAAGTCTCTACTTCTTTTGTAGGGTCTGATGGTGTAGTGGGTTAAAGCATACTAGTTATGGCAGCTACTGGAAGGTAGTTGTGCTTTCTGGGTTCGAGTCCCACTGGTGGGTGTTGTCCAATATATATATATATATATATATATATATATATATATATATATATATATATATATATATATATATATATATATATATATATATATAGTAACAATTATGTAATTATTGTTATATTAGGTAAAATATTTTATTTATTCATGTTTGTTTATTGAGACAACCCAACACACAAATCACTGCACATGAGCTTGACAAGGTCAGTTTTAACTGCCAGCTGCTCAGACTACACTGGTTGAAGGCCCTTAAACATTCATAACTTGGCCGAGACTCCCAATAACACGGATTTGTGTCCTAGTTTGGTGAAGTTTGGCCAACAAAAATTTAAAGAGACAATTGGTAAGATTACACAGAGGTCCAGGTTAACCGAGTCCGGATTAGCGAGCTCCTTAGTCTGTTGTTGTATTAGAATTTCACAATTAGGAATATTTATCTGCAGAACATTGTGAGGTTATTTCCTGGGTTCTGTTTGGACGATACGTTCCTCAGATGCATCTGTCCTCACGGCACCTGGGGTTCTCGCTGTAAAGTGATCATTAGGCACTTCGAGGACGACGGTGGAGGGTCTGACTTGGGAAGTAGTGAAGATGAGGTCGTTACAGTGGGTGGGTGGGCGTGGGTGCCGCCAATCCCACCTTGTGCCGAAGTCCACTTGAGTCTGGAGGTGCTGACCAGATCCATGGCGGCCACGCTGCTGTACTCAGGGCCGGACCAGGGGGCACCAATCCCAGGGATCGAAGAGAACACCACTAGGGACCTGTTGCTGCTGGAGCTGCGTCAGGGCCGTCCGTCTCTCCTGCTGGACCTGGGAGACGGCCCTGTTACCCTCGACCTCAACGCCTCCTACTCCCTGGCAGACAACACCTGGCACAGGATCGACCTTATATGGAAAGACGAGGTGAGGATGTAGAGACTTTGGACTATGGGTATTGGTTTTGAAATCCAAATGATTGTTGTGACCAATATCGTTGCGACTTCCATTGTAGTGGTAAATATTATCATTATTTCATATCATTCATTCATTATCATAACAAATCTCATGTTGTTAATCGCCGGACTAGTCTCGACAGGTCACGATTACTGCCAGTTATAGTCGATTAAACTATAATAAATGTCATTTAACACTTCACTGTGAACCATACCTAATTTTCTTTGACACTTGCTGTAGGTACTGTTATCACCATAGAAGATAAATCCCTTTTCAAAACTGTGGTTGAAATTCGGCCTTCGTCAGGCCCATGTAATATATTTAATCTACATTCAAAAGAAAGGGCCACCGAATGAATATATTTTTATATTTGATAAAAGTCGTTTTTCGATACACAGTTTAACATTTTCGAATGCATACTTCGATTACATTGCAGCTTGGACAGCTAATACATGGGCAACCCAGCATTTTTTGCAATGTATAATATTATGGCAGGTAATTGGATCAGGGCATCAACGTGCCGATGCAAATAATGTTAAAAATAGGTGATACCCAGATTCAAATGTGTGGGACAGTCCACTAATGAATAATGAAAAGTACTAGATATTTTTTGGAGATAGAGTGAGTTTTACTCTTCGTGGTTCAGGAGAGTATGATCGTTATATATTTTTTCAGGCTTCTATGATAGGTATTCAATGTTTAATTTGGTATGATATATATAATTCAGGGTAGTATGCAATATTAAAATTTTTCAGGTGAGAATGTCATCTCTCACAATACTTATAGGAGTATGAAAGTTTTTTTTGTTCAGCAGAGAGTTAGTCATCTATTGTTGAACAAAGTACGATTATAATTCAGTGTTCGGGAGACAGCTACTCGTCAGTTGATAATTACTAATAGTTCAAAAATGTGTAAAATACTCACCCAACACCATTTACATCAAAACACTAATCGAGGGTTATTCTCCTTTCCCAATTTCTGCTCTCCCACCTCTTCATCCTCCCCATTCACGCTTCCTTCTCTTCTCTTAATTCTTTTCTTCACCCACTCTTATCTTCCGATCCCTCATCCAATTTTCCTTCTCTCATTAACCTGTCTACTACTCTTCTTCGCTTGTTCGTCCCTTCTTCTCCTTCTCCATCCTCTTGCATTTCTCCATCTTCTTCCTCTCTCCTCGCTCGTTCTCTCCCACTCTCAGTTGGTGGAAATGATTGTGGACTTGTGCACGGGCAACGGACCAGACGACGTATCACCGCCGCCACCCTCCACCCTCGCCCACAACCACTCCAAGACGAACACCCATCCCGACGCCCACACTTGTAGAGGGGCGGCCAGACTGCCTCGTGCCGCCCGCGTCCTCAACACAAGTGGACCGCTACAAGTGGGTGGACTGTCACACCCTCTACCAGCAAACACTTTACAAGAGGGTTTCCCACCTTTCTATGGCTGTCTCCGGAACCTCAGAGTCAACGGCCAGGTGAGAGACACTGTAGTAGCAGTAAAAAAAAAAAAAAAAAAAAAATAATGTATATATATATATATATATATATATATATATATATATATATATATATATATATATATATATATATATACATTATTTATGATCGATGATCCCTTCGGGAATCTTAATTTTAAGATGAATAGGAAAACCAGGGATATACTGAACATCTTGTTTCAGATTCTTTACTTTAAAATGCATAACGTTTCGAATACTTCTCGTATTCATCATCAGATCTAAAAGAAAAAACAAAAATCACAATCAAATAACTAGTAAACAAAGAACTCATACTGAATATAATTGCCTATCAAAGAAAGGAAAATGCTTAAAAAACAAAACACTTAAGCGCACTTAAAGTGATCAATACAAATTAAACTTATTAACTGTCACATTTATAAAAGCTAATTTAAAAATCCATTAGACTACAAGACGAAATTTATAACTACTAAAACAAACCATTCTATTAAACTTACGTGAAGTGATCAGAAGTGAAACTTGATACCTAACACATAGATACTAAACACTATAACAAATATTCATATAATGACTACAAATCTACAAAAAATGTATATAAAATGCAAACAGAATAAACGACAATTATAATGTACTAACCAAAATTTTATAAAAACTCAAATATTAAATAAAATTAAATACCAAAAAATGTATTATATATCCTAAATAAAAGATTATAATAATGTACAATGTCAAGACTTGAAATAAGTAAGAAAGGGCAAAGGCATGATAAACTAAACAAAATTATAATAAAATTAACTACCAGAATGAACTATAAATTAATTTACAGGGCCTACTGTGCACTATACAGTGTACAATTGAACAGCTGAAAGGTTGCTATTTAACAGATGCCGCAGCTCCTTTATATATAAGGATTTCATCATTACTCTCAAATCTGACTGGCCATGCATACAAGTGTCCAGAATTTTAAAATCAGATTCCAGCAGAGAATGATTAAACTCATAACAATGGTTTCTAATCTCCGAAAATGCTGCTTTAGACAATGGTAATCCAGTCCTAAAAGATAATCCCCGGTGCTCAAGTATCCTAATCTTAAAGCTCCGAATGGAACTCCCGATATATCCAGCATTACAGCTGGAACAATTATACATATATACGATATTTGAGCACAAGGGGGTAGACACTTTATCTTTAAATTTAAAAAAGGAACCTATGGTATTTGTGTTGACAAAAAAAAATCTAAAGTCTACTTGAGGATAACAATGCTGCAACAGTCTCCTCAAACGACTCCTTACAGAAAAACTAATAGTGCCATATATATATATATATATATATATATATATATATATATATATATATATATATATATATATATATATATATATATATATATATATATATATATATATATGCAATAACTTGCCTAAAACACACAATTGAAGTTTTACAACACTTTCCCATCAGGAGACTTGAACCCTAGCCAGCACAGAAGCCTCACAGCAACTGGCATAGCAGGTACGCCTTTAACCCACTGCACCAAACTCAGACCCTTAAAAGAAATGGTAATTTTGCGGTATTTAAACCCCCCAAAGATCACCACCTCCCAAGGGCAACTAGAGCTAGTAAGAGGTCACTCACATTCTTTCATCAAGTCCCTGTTAATATGGGAGAACACTGTGTCTGTGCTTAATGCACTAACTTGCCTAAAACACACAAGTGAAGTTTTACAATTAAATAAAAAAGTCTAACAGATAGAACTCCCAAAAACTTTGTTTTAATATATTCATATTATATAAAATGTTTCTGATTATAATTCCGTTTTTATAATTTGATATATTTTAAGAGGTTACTTCTTGTAATCAAAACTTGCTTTTCGATTTAATTAATTTCGGCTCGTTATTAATTCATCTTTACTTCAATTTTTTTTAAATACGTCCTTTTTTTCTTTGTTTTGCTCATCTCGGCTTCCGTTTTCCATTTACGTCCCTTCGTTCTATTCCTTACATTGTAATTGATGTTGTCTCGAATTTGGTGATTATGGTTACTCTGTGATTTGTCAAGTGTTGTGATGTTCAGTTTTTAGTCTGTTCTTTTTTTGTTTATCCTTTTCATTTCTTGAAGACTTCTAGTGGAGTAACAAACTTTATTCTTTTTTGTGTGTGTTAATGTATGAGATCTGTATACTGTCGCTGCTATGTGTGTTCATTACCTAAGTGTAGTTACAGGATGAGAGCTACGCTCGTGGTGTCCCATCTTCAAAGTACTGTCATATAACGCTTTGAAACTTCTGACGGTTTTGACCTCTGCAACTTTCACACTTAACTTATTCCAACCGTCTACCTCTCTGTTTACAAAATATAACTTTCTAATATTTTTGGCCCCTTTGTTTCCTTAGCTTGAATCTGTCACCTCTTGTTCTTGAAGTTGCTGGTTTCAGGAATTCCTCTTTGCCAATTTGGTGTTTGTGTGAATGAAAGTTCAATTGCATTCATATATTTAGCACTAGATGGAGTATCGGGCAATGACAGAGTCTCTCCCTCCTCGCCAAATCTTCAGCCTCTTCCGTCTGTCTCTTTCTTCCCCATCCCTCCTCTGCCTCCTCCCATTCTCCCTCTCTACTCTCCTTTACCCATTCCCTTCTACTTTTTCCTTGTCTTTCATATCTTCCCTTAATGCCTCCCGGCTCTCTTACCTAAAGCCTCCCTCATCTCATATTTACCCTATCTTCCCCCCTAACCACTTATCTCCCTCTTTACTATCTTCTTCCTTATCCCTGTCAACTGTCTCCTACCTATTCCCCCTTTCTTCCTTTTCCCATTTTACCCCTTCCCCACCTCATGTCTCTCTCTCTCTCTGGGAACATGGAATAAATTCACCCAGCACAAAATATAAGCACATCGTTTTGTTTATTTTGATAGAACCTTGTCACAACGTTCTGGTTATGTTGGAGAACTATGTAGAAACCCAAAACCCCTATTTATATAATAAAATAAAATGTTTATTTAGGTAAGGTACATACATACAATAAATTTTTACAAAGATTGGTTGACTTATAGGTAGAGCTAGTACATACAATGCCTAAAGCCACTATTACGCAAAGCGTTTCGGGCATGATTTGACTCCATACGAGTCGCTGGGAGTTGCAGGGAACCGATCATATTAAAGGGGGACCTTGGGGCCAAACTCTACCAGCCCATGATAGTCGTGCACCTACCATCAATGTGTATTCAGAAGAGATGGCTGAGGTTAGCACCAGACATCTGCCGTGGAACATCACACACACATTCTCTTTTAGAGATATATTATATCAAATGATTTTAAGTAAGGAGGGAGTTGGGCTGGAGCCTGGCCGTATGGGTGGAGAACTCTCGTCTACAAACTGGTGTGTGTTGTTCCAGCAGCTGGTGGACCTGGGCGGCGGCGTCCTCGGCCAGGGCAGTTACCCCGGGTGTCCAGCCACAGACTGCCTCTCCAGTGGCCTCTACTGCGGCCTCCACAGCAGGTCAGTCCTCTATGTGTACATATCAAAGAGAGAGAGGGAGGAAATGGTAAGCTATAATATATGCAAGCATCTATAAACTTTTCCTTGTCTCCCTGCTCCTCTATTTATTTTTAAACTTGAACTAGGGTTCATAACGGCTGTAAAATGACTTACCCAGTGAAACTGCAAGCAAAAGCCTGCTCCTAGAGACTCATTTATTTAATGAGTGTACTCTGAACAATGATAAGGATATCTCTCTCTCTCTATCTATCTCTCCTACGTAAACAATTATTACAGATAAATTTCATGATATTAATAGTAATAACAAAATAATGATAATAATAACAATAATAATGCGAAAATTATTTTAAGCCAAGCGGGATTTACCCACCAACCTAGTAGACACCAGCCGTGCGCCATACCCCTATGCCAAGACGTGCTAAAAGCTATTCAGCCTGGGACCCTACTGAGTCCATCAGGAATTCTGGAGACACCGATCTGGTGCCCAAGCAGTTCTCATGAATAGTCCGTATGAGCTCTGGCGTGGGTAATGGCTTACTGAGCTAACACTACACGCAATTTTGCACACTAGAAACTACTATTTATATACCTGCCAATGAGGTCTCGTTATTTGTTTACCTGCCCATGAGGTCCCGTTATTTGTTTACCTGCCAATGTGTCCTTGCTCTCATGCTCCTGCCCTTGTGTCCTTCCTATTTGTATACCTGCCCATGATGCTTTGGGCTCTTTGTGACGCGGCCCGTGGGTATGCTGGGCTATTTTATTACTAATCGTGTTATTCATTTATTGCACCAGAAAAATCGCAAGACACTGAGATACGCTTTAACTACAGTATGATGTGTGTCCGTGTGAGAACTGTATTCCTGGTACCGGGAGTTAGAGAGCTGATGTCTCAGCGAGATATTGAACTGGGAGAAAGGTGAATTGAATTGTACTAAATGAACGGTAATTGCTTATATCTCGAGTGTTAATGGTAATCGAATCGAATATAAAATGGTAATCAATTAGAATTATGATGGGGAAAAAAAATCGTACAATTTAACGAGACTCTATGGACATTCACCGCCAGATTTAACGGATATCTGAATATTATCAATGCAGTTAAAAATGTTCCATATGCTTGAAGTGGGCTAGAGAGAGTAATCCATATACAAGAGAAGTTACATGAAATTTCGAACAATGTGGATTTGTTCTGGAAATGATAGTGAATAGACTGGGTCTTTGTGTCGAAAAATATAATTTTATATGAGTGAATTATCAAAAGGGGAAAGTTCTTAATATACCAGCTGTATATATATATATATATGTATATATATATATATATATATATATATATATATATATATATATATATATATATATATATATATATATATATATATATATATATATATATATATATATATATATATATATATATATATATATATATATATATGTGTGTGTGTCGTACCTAGTAGCCAGAATGCACTTCTCAGCCTACTATGCAAGGCCCGATTAGCCTAATAAGCCAAGTTTTCATGAATTAATTGTTTTTCGACTACCTAACCTACCTAACCTAACCTAACCTAACTTTTTCGGCTACCTAACCTAACCTATAGAGATAGGTTAGGTTAGGTTAGGTAGGCTTGGTTAGGTTCGGTCATATATCTACGTTAATTTTAAATCCAATAAAAACAAATTGACCTCATTGTTACGGACCCGGATCCAGCGTCTGAGCCTGGAGCAGTGACGACCACGCCATCTGTGGGTCAGCTCCCGAAACCTCCTCCAAATGGACGACGACACCTGGTGAGGACGAGGTGTACTGGCCACGAGGGCCAGTTTCCAGTCCTGTTCAGCTCACAACACAGCCGCTGCTGACCTCTGGTGCGGTGGTGCTCAGACGACAACGCCATCTATGGAGTGGATAGGTGGGCGTTTGGGTCTGAGCCTGTAAGTGAGGTGCTTTTGTGTGTACCTGTTACTGATGACGTGTCTGATTACAGAGTCGATCTGGGACTGCTGTAATGGAAGTTGGATCAGTCTACCCAAGGCAGCCGTCTCGACACCAAGGTTTTGCTGCAGCAGCTGTGAGTCGCCTCCCGGATGAACACTGTGGTGTTACCCTGCCTGTGAAGCGGCAGTTGAAGGATTGTCATACCCGGGACTGACTGGTGGAGACGCTTAACCACTGGGGTATTGTGGAAAGGAGAGTGATCTGTGGTATCACACGAGGCTCCTGACTAGGGCGCTACCCTAGTATCGCTCGTGGAGTGGCCTAACCAGCGTTGCTGATTCGGAACCTGCCAGCTATCTGCTGGACTTGTGGTTGACGGCCTCCACGGCGGTGCCCCAGTGGAACTGTGTTTTGGCTGGCCTGTGGCCGGGGTAGACTCAGCTTCTCGAAGGATTCGTCGTGAGGCCACGAGAGCACCGAGAGCTTGGCACCGAGAGGATCCAGGGTCTTCAGAAGAAGACGACAGTGTATTATAGTGTTTATAACCCCCCCCCCCCCCTTCCGTGTAATCGTTTATATATATTTATTGGTGACGGTGATCATTATATTATATTAAGTTTTTGACTTTATTTCCCTTCCCCTTTTAATTTACTTGCATTACGGATCACATCCCTTGAAAGCCACTACTGGCTTGGGGCCAGATACCCTTCCTCTAACAACATCAGAGTAAGAACCCAGTTGCGACCCGAGAGGGCCGTAACATAATTGGCATCCCCAGCGGGATCCGACCCCTTGTCGAGTATGTTTGACAGGGGTGGTGAAGTGGCGTAATCCCTGTAAATAATTCCCCCTGTGTGTAACGATTGGGACGTTATACGTCCTATGCGGTGCTCGGAGTGACAAAGTGCGATATTGTGCAGTGCGGTGCTCGCTGTGATTAAGCGATTAAGTGCAATATTGTGTAGTGCGGTGCTCGGCGTGATTCAGTGCAATATTGTAGAGCGAAGTGTTCGCTGTGATTCAGTGCAATATTGTGTAGTGCGGTGCCCGAAGTAATTACGTGCAATATTGGCAAGTGAGGCGCCAGGTGCTATAAAGTACAATATTGACGTAGAACAGTGCTCGGTGCGTGAAGTGCTAACGTGAAAGCGGTGTGTTAAGTGCTGAGTGTTCCATCTGTGACAATGGCAGAAAAAGCTACCATCGATGATCTGGACGATGTTCAGGCTTTTCTGAACAGAGAGGACTGTCTTGCCAGATTAAAATATCTGAACAAACAGGAACTCATACTGGTGAGTGCCTACCTGGAGATAAAGATCCGTGCCAGTGATTCCCGTGTGGAGATCTTGTCAAAGGTTCACCGGCATTTGAAGGCCGAAGAAAAACAGGAAGGTGAGGTACCAAGTACAAAAGAAAGTGAGGAAGTAGCTTCCACTGAAAAGGAAGATAAAGGCAGTGACATTGACAGTGATGCAGGTGAGCTGAATATTAGCTTTCTTACAGTCAAAATGCGTGCCTTAGAGATAAATCGTGAGATAGAATGGAAGAAATTAGAAATGGAACGAGAATTAAAAGAGAAAGAATTGGCGATGAGGCGTTTAGAACTGGAAAGAGAAGAAAGAAGAGAAGAACGAGAAAGAGAAGAAAAACGAGAAAGAGAAGACGAGAAAGAGAAGAGAAACGAGAAAGAGAAGAACGAGAGAGAGAAAGAGTAGAACGAGACAGACAAGAACGATGAGACAGAGAGGAAAGAGAGAGACAACATGAACTAGAAGTATTACGGTTAGGTGGTCGGAGGCAAACGACGGAAACCAGTAGTTTCGATCTGGTAAGGAACATCAAAATGGTCCCAAAATTCAACGAGAGGGAAGTTTCGAAGTTCTTCGCAGCCTTCGAGAAAGTCGCTGCCTCTTTGGAGTGGCCAAGGGAGAATTGGGCCATCATGATACAGTCAGTCCTGACTGGAAAGGCCCAAATCGCCTACTCCACGTTATCCCTTGACGACTCCGGCGATTATGACAAGGTGAAGAAGGTCGTGCTCATGGCGTACCAATTGGTACCTGAGGCTTACAGGCAGAAGTTCAGGAACCTGAAAAAGACCTCAGAGCACACTTTCACCGAATTCGCCACTATAAAGGAGCGACTTTTCCAAGAATGGTGTACCTCTCGGAAGGTGGAGACCAAAGAAGACCTCGAGCAGCTCGTCCTGTTAGAGGACTTCAAGGATTGTTTGTCTGGAGACCTGAAGACGTACTTAGAGGAGCAGCAGGTGGAGACCTTGAGTGCGGCAGCCACCATGGCTGAGGAATACATCCTGACGCACAGGCCTTCTGCTAAGTACGTCCCGAGGAATTACCCACGCCGGTTTGACAAACCTCATGACGAAGATGAGACCCCGTCCGACGAAGCGCTAAGAAGACGCCCCCAAGTAGCCCTCGAAGGACCAGTCCTAGCAGTCCGAAACACCGGAGTCCGAGGAGGAATATGGTGTGCTGGACTTGTGGGCAGAAAGGGCATGTAGCTGCTATGTGCCGAGGCAGAAGAGGTAGCGGCGCACGTAGGGAGGTGATGTTGATGAGCTGTGTGACACCACCAGTAGGAAGCCAGTCGACGAAAACGCAGGAAGGACCAAGTTTGTTCGTCCCTCACACTTCAAGCGGGTATGTAACGAGTGATCATACTGGTAGATCAGTTGTGGTGCTCAGAGATAGTGGAGCAGCCCAGTCCCTGATCGTGAAAAACTCGTTACCCGAGGGAGTGAGTGTGGTTGGGAGACCAAAGGTTGTCCTGGTTGGGTTTCCTAGGACGCAGTACATCGCCCCCTTAGTGCCGGTACATCTCGACTCGCCCTCCTTCAGCGGCATATGTACGTTGGCAGTAGTCGATACCTTGCCTATAGCTGGGATTGACGTGATACTAGCCAACGACTTGGTGACAGATTGGAGCACCAATCATCCCAAGGTCGCGGATGAGTCAGCCGGAACAGCAAGGTCAGAAGTAACGGCTGGAAATGGTAATATCCAGGTAAAAACAGACCCGGATTTAAACATGTTTAATTTGT